GTAGAAACGGGGTTCCGAGAGACGGCGGCGAGTGTCGTGCTCCCTGCGCGGTAGGCAACACTGCACACACTCCGCTCGTTTCGACTCGCCTCGAAGTAGAAGCGCTGTGAACACCCTCCTCCCTCCCAGCCCTACCCCGCTGTTTCCATCATCCACCGTTCTTACTGCCGGCTCCCCACCCAACCCCGAGTTCCCATGCTCTTGCTCGCTGCCGCTGTCGCTGTCGCTGCTGCCGCTGTCGCTGTCGCTGCTGCTGCTGCTGCTGTAGCTGCTGCTGTAGCTGCTGCTGTAGCTGCTGCTGCTACCGTTCGTCTTGGCGAGGTGAAGGAGGGATTGACAGATTGGTAACGTTAGAGAGGATTGGAGGGGAAAGACGACTGTTTCTCGCACGGGATCTGCGTGGGCGCTCGACTTTTCCGAGACGATCGGGAAGGGTTGTGCGCGCGTCGTCGGCCTGAGTCGATTCTTCGAGTTCTACACTTCTCTCTTACTCTCTCTCTCTCTCTCTCTCTCTCTCTCTCTCTCTCTCTTTCTCCCTCTCTTTCTCGACACACACACACACACATACACATAGCACACACATACTTCTCTCTTTCTCTCTTTTGCAAACTTTCTTTCGAGAGACATCTTTTACTTGACTATCACTACTAGTATTATTATTATTACTACTATTACTACTGGATTACTGTTACAAGTACTGTTACTGATACTACTTACCCCTTCTTCAGTCCCAAGAAGGTAAATTCATATGCACGCGTTTTTTAAAAAGAACGTCCTACTATTCTAATCTTTTCTATATGAAAGAGAACACTATATATATATATATATATACATATACATACATATATATATACATATATATATATATGTATGTATATATGTATAGTTCGTTAAATTGATAAGAGAACACAACGTCGAGATGATATGAAAAAGACGAATTCTTTTCGAAATAAGTAAATAATTTTCTTTTGACTGATAGTAAAAGTACCCGTGAATATATAAAGAAAATAAAAAATCAGCCTGAAGAGCAGACGCAAGCAAGCACGTGATTGCGAACGCGCGTGGTTTCGCGATTAGAGGGAACGGAAGGAAGATTCTACGAGCGATGGAACTACCGATACTACACACGTTGGTCTATGCGCATGGTGAAAAAGGGGAGGAATGTAGGAGGGTAGAAGAGGATGTGCTTGGAAATGATAGAGGTGGAGGAGAGAGGTGTAGAAAACGCACACCTATATGTACGAGGCGCTACGTTCGCTAAATTTGTCTCTTCTTCCGGTCTCTCTCTCTCTCTCTCTCTCTCTCTTTCTCTCTCTCTTTCTATTTATCTATCTATCTATGTGTCCATCTATCTCTTTTACTCTCTCGAGTTAGATACACGCGATGGCTGTTACGTGTACTCGTTCGCATTTTCATCGACGCACACGCGAGCCTTGTTCAACAAGAAGAAGAGAGGAGGCTATTTAGTTGAGGTGATAGCGATGGCGATGATGATGATGGTGCTGGCTGGTGGTGGTGGTGGTAGTGGAGGTGGTGGCAGTGATGGTGGTGGTATTGTTACTGCTGCTGCTATTACTGGTGGTAGTAGTGATGGTTGGTAGTGGTGTTGAAGTCTAAGGGTGGGGGGAGGTTTGGCGAAGCAACCGTTTCATCGGCAACGCCGCATTGCAGATCTGCCGCGCTGACGCGCAACCGACCCTAACCTAACCTTTCGTGCGCGCCTTCATTCGTTCGAGTCGACCTACCGACCTACCGTACACATTTTCTACCTCCAAACCACCCTCTTGTATTTTTCTCTCTTACCCTCTCTCTCTCCCTCTCTCTCTCTCTCCCTCTCCCTCTCTCCCTCTCTCAGTCTATCTATCCATCTATCTTTTTTTCTCTTAGTTACCCTTTTCCGATCGATGAAAACGTTCGATATTTCTTTCCTTGGAAATTAGGGCTCTATGCTATCGTTCGATACTTCAGCTTTTCTTTTTTTTCTGCTTCGTCTTTTCCTTATTGAACGCTTGTATCCGGTTGACTCTCTTTTCCTCTCAAATAAGCTTTTCCAATAATCGTCGATTTTATCGACTTAATTCTCTCTCTCTCTCTTTCTTTCTCTCTCTCTCTCTCTCTCTCTCTCTCTCTTCCTCTAATCGTTACACTCTCTAACGCGTTTAATCGCAACAGTTTATCGCGAAATAAATGATTTACCGAAGATCGCAAACTACCGGAACCTTTCTCTCTTTTTCTCTCCTTCTCTCTCTCTCTCTTTCTCTCTCTTTCTCTCTCTTTCTCTCTCTCTCTCTCTCTGTTTCTTTTTCGGCCTTGCAGCACGTAAAATTTCAAGCAGTCTTTTATTTACTTCTACTTACCCCCTAGTACCGATTAAGAGATTTTTGTGTAGTATGATTTCAAAGCAATTATCTACGTCGACGTCGTGACCGATGAATCGATTAGCATTATTTCTTGCACGAATAGCGTGTTACCATCCAGTAAACGTGAAAAGTGCCTTCTTTATCTCTTTATCTATATTTCATTATTCCAAGTTTTTGCAAAAGATACATGTATGCATGTATGTATGTATGTATGTATGTATGTATGTATGTATATGTATAGGTATATACAAAACGTGTTTTCTTACCCTTTCACTCGTATGTTATATCCTAAGAGATTTCTTTCCACGTATGTATAAACACGTAACTCCGGGATCCTCGAGTAGATATTTATTCATTCACACTCATGGTTTCTCAAAGAAGAAGAGATTCTTTCTGTCTCTCTCTCTCTTTCTCTCTCTCTCTCTTTCTCTCTCTGTCTCTTCAGCGCGACACGTTGCGGATTAATCTTATATGATCTGTTTTCGCTATAACGAAACACGCGATTCTTCTTCTTTTTTCTTCTTTTTCTTTTTTTCTTTCTAGACAAATGGATTAAGAAAAAGACAGAGAGAGAGAGAGAGAGAGAGAGAGAGAGAGAGAGAGAGAGAAAGAAAATAAGGGAAAGAAAAGAGTATAAAGGAAGAAATTGAAAGGAGGAATTAAAAGAAGAGCGAAGAAAGTAAGAAAGTGATAAGATTGAAGATTTGATAAAGAGAGATAGATGAAATGAATTGAAGGATAGATAGAGAGAGAGAAAGAGAGAGAAAGGCACGGACGGATAGATTGAAAGATAGAAAGAAAAGGAGAAAAGAGAGAGATAGAGAGAGAAAGAGAGAAAAAAATAGAGAGAGAGACACAGAAAAAAAGACAGAGAGGGAGAGAGAGAGAGAAAGAGAAAAAGAGAGAAGAAAATAGAGCAAAACAGCTTGGTTCGCTGCTAAAATTTCACTGGCCGCTCGCGGACGACTTTCTTCCCCCGTTCGTTCCGTTCGTTCGTTCGTTCGTTCGTTCGTTCGTTCGTTCGTTCGTTCGTTAGACGTCGTCTCCTCTCTCTCTCTTGCGGAGAAGAGCGGGAAGTACGTGCAACGAAGCAAGCACGTCATTGAATTCGTGCCAAGGGTAATATGGATTCTGCGGCATGCAATCTCAAAAGCTTTTCGGGGAGAAATAAGAAAGTGTGAGGGAGACAGAAAGACAGAGACAGAGATGGAAATAGAGATAGAGATAGATAAAGAGAGAGAGAGAAAGAGAGAGAGAGAGAGAGAGGAGATATTCCTTCGCTCTATCATTCTTCTTCACTGTGTCCCCAATTGTCAGTGGCGTGCGCCCTTGTTTAAGTCCGCAAACGGGCGCTTCTTTGGCTAGATATGAGGAATGACCAGAGAAAGAGAAAGAGGGAGAAGAGTTGGTGGGGAGAATATGTAAAACTTCCGCCCGACTCTCTCTCCTGTTTTTTCATTTTTCTTTCTTTCTATCTTTCTTTAATTCTTTCTTTCTTTCTTTCTTCCTTTTTTGTATTTTTCTTTCTTTTTTAATTTTTAATAACTTATTACAGTACTTTATTTCGATTATTAATTACACTCTTAAGTTGTGATTCATCTAGGTAGGTACAATTGCGGTCGCAAATATCGATACAATGTTTCTTTTTTTTTGTTTTTGTTTCTTGTTTTCCATTTTAATAATAATAATAATAATAATAATAATAATAATAATAATAATAATAATAATAATAATAATAATAATAATAATAATAATAATAATAATAATAATAATAATAATAATAATAATAATAATAATAATAATAATAATAATAATAATAATAATAATAATAATAATAATAATAATAAAAATAAAAATAAAAATAAAAATAAAAATAAAAATAAAAATAAAAATAATAATAATAATAATAATAATAATAATAATAATAATAATAATAATAATAATAATAATAATAATAATAATAATAATAATAATAATAATAATAATAAAAATAATAATAATAATAATAATAATAATAATAATAATAATAATAATAATAATAATAATAATAATAATAACAATAATAATAATAATAATAATAATAATAATAATAATAATAATAATAATAAAAATAAAAATAATAATAATAATAATAATAATAATAATAATAATAATAATAATAATAATAATAATAACAATAATAATAATAATAATAATAATAATAATAATAATAATAATAATAATAATAATAATAATGATAATGATCTATTTCTTTTTTCTCTTTTTGTCTGTTTTTTCTTTTTGTTTATACAATGCGTTCTTCATTTTACTCGACTCTTCTTACTTAAGATTAAAATCGAGATGTAAGTTTTCATACGTTTTGGTGATTCGTTTTTCCTCGTTTTTAACATATTTTAATATGATTTCGAAAACGCGATGACCACGATCCACGAAGAGAAATGACGAAGAGAGAGACAGAGATTATATTATTCCTTTTCCTGCGTGTTTTTGTTTCTTTTATTTAACCTTCCTAAATATAGTATGTATGTATGTATGTATGTATGCGTGTATGTTGTATGTATGTGTGTGTGTGTGTGTATGTATGTATGTATATCAACAAAACGACGTGTATAGGAAGCGGCAGTCTTTTCCACGCTCTCGTTCCTGTCGAACGTGCGAGTGGTAGTAAATCGGTCCTCTTTCGATGCTCTTCTCTCAATCCCTTTTTTATTCTTTTTTCTTTTTCTTTTTTTTTTTTTTTTTTACTTTTTCTTTTGTATAAAAATGAAAAGGCTGTTTTTCCATGGACCGTGGAAGGATTTTGATGAATGCAATTTTTTTTAGGAGTGATAACTTTTGAATGAAGGAGTAGAACTGTTAGGAAATAAGACGATGTAAAGAGAGCTTTCGATAGATTACTTACAATTAATTTTCGTTAACTCTTAATACTCTTACTTTCTAACTTTGGTCGGAATTAGCTCTTCGCACTCGAGCAACGGCGCTTCGAGGATCGTCCACAACTGTTTTGCTTATTTGGCGTCGGACACTATTAGTCTCGCGTACAAAAAGCGCGTATCGTCAAAGCGCCGTGAAAATAACGAGAGAAAGAGGGATTAGAGAAAGCTAAAATGATATATATATATTATATATATATCATATATATATATATATATGATATATGTATATATATATCATTTGATAAAGAGAGAATGAGATTACAAATGCGAAAATATGTGACGACTGTGCAAAATAAAAAATGAGAATAATGCGAGATAATGTAAAATGACGATATTGGTTGGTGGTTATGGTGGTTATGGTGGTTATGGTGATGGTAGTAGTGGCAACGGTGGTTTTTCCTCTAAGGAATTAACTTAAAACTCGTTAATCTACTTCCGACAAAGGGATGGATAACAGGTAAATAGATAAAGAGATAGAATTAAACAGAGAAAATGATAGAGAAAGATAAGAATGGCGCCGTGAAACCGTATACAACAAATTGTTTTATCACGACGATATTAGGAGGAAAAAAATAGAAATAAAAGTTATACATATATAAATATATATATATATATATATATATATATATATATATATGTATATATATATATATACACGCACGGTGAGACCATGTGACAACACTGTATATGGGAAATAAGCACTCCCTCGAACGATTATTATCATATCGCACACGGATATCACGTATCGACGATAGAGAAAACCCGCGGTACTTTTAACGTGTAATCGTGTACTCGGAGCATCGTAGATCTCCGTTCATCCTTCGATCGTCGCCGATCATTTGACCGTCCTCTGACAAGTTGGCAGATTAACCATGAAGAATACGTTGAGCTCTATCAAAGAGGCCAGGATTAGGAAGACCGCGTACATACACAAACAAGCGCGGCCTACTTTTCTATCGAGTTGAAACTTATTTGAAGCGAAGGCAATGTAGAGTAACATTAGCGTCGATAGTAGAGATATGGCGCTGTACTCGAGACCACCAGAATTTATGCTGATGTAATGTCTGCCAGGTTGCGTGGGCGAGAACGAGGATTTTATCAACCATGGTAGACCCAAACATAGGAGTATGTCGAACGTGTTAGAACCGATCGAATTGCTGATACCCATCGAGCCGTGTCCTAAAACAGAGAGTAAACTAATAATAACATTGTTAATTGGTGAGTTTATCGAAGGAAGAAAAAAGATCAAACATATAGATGAAACAAATAGACCTATCCTTCTTCTAGTTTTTTTTAAGAATATCCAGAAAAAGGTGTACACTTTATAAGTGGCAACTTACCAAATTGGATTCAATTGTATTCTTGAGATTAATCCGAAAGAAACCTTTTAAATATTCCTCCTTTCCCTATATCCCATCCCCAATTTTTAATTTTTTTTGAAACCTTTTCTTATCAATATCTTTTGCTTTTTTTTTCTTTTTACAAAGATCTAGAATTATATTTTTAATTTTATATTGATGCTATAATCTCTCTTGGATGTTAAATTTATATATAAGAAATAATATAAGGAAGATATAAGGAAATATTAGAAACAAGGAAAAGAAAAAAGTGGGTCATCACTCTTTGAATTACCCTACTATTTATCTTCTTTTACGTACCTTGTTTCGCGACAATCACGCTCGAGACAGCTTCCGGTACGCTAGTACCAGCCGCGAGAAACGTGATACCCATTACCGAATCTGGTATCTTCAATGTATCTCCTGAAAATAGTGTCGTCAAAATTATGTGAAATTCAAACTATCTCGTTATCAGCTCTCTCTCTCTCTCTCTCTCTCTCTCTCTCTCTCTCTCTCCCATAATCAATTCGAAAATCAATACTCACCGATTATCGTGATCATCCATGCAACGACATAACTCAATGAACCGATCCAAATGATACACATGAGGAACGTAACAGGGAACCAATTTTTAAATCGTGGCTTTTCGCAATCCGGTATTGTACACATGAAAATTAGATGAATCGGCCAAGTCATGATCCAAGCTGTTTTTCTGATCCATCCGCCTCGTGCAGGCCATACCAACAACTCGTATTCGTAATCTAAAAGAATAAATATAAATCAAAGGGTATATTATCGAGATATTTTTAAATTTTTACGCTCAACTTACTCGGTTCGGGATTTTCTTCCTGTGCTTTGGTTCCGCCATTTTGCAAAGGTACGTCTATCGTTGCTATTTGTTCGACTCGATCGCCGGACGATTGAAGCTTATCAGGTCTGGGTAAATGAATCTCATCAGCATCTATTCGACGATATTCAAATGAATTTAAACGATTAGCGGATTAGAAAACTCTGATATTATATATATTCTTTTTTTAACATCGTACCAGTTGCGATATGGCAGTCGGTCGAGAACTGATCGTTGTTGGTGCGAAATCTCGTACACCGTTGAAATGATTTATCCCAATACATGACAGCGATGTAAACTATATAAAGTAGGACCAGGGTGAGAGCCTCGTACCACTCGACGCGTTCGTCGTGTATGATGCATATTAAAATGGCGACGGTTACACCGTAGGCTAGGCAGTCCCTGCTAACGGGCCACCAATCTAATGGGACAACCTGTATGAAGTACGATGTCCCCCCCCCAAAAAAAAAGAAGAAAAAAGAAAAGAAAGATAAAGGAAGAGAGAGAGAGAGAGAGAGAGAGAGAAAGAGAGAAAAAGAAGAAGAAATGTATTAAGCCTCGAATTGGAACGAATATATTTGATTAAGAATTCGTCTTTACCATTCCTGCGCCGATCCCACAGCAAGCAGGAACAGCAAGAATATTGAACACCGCCGATCCGACGATAGTTCCAACTCCGATGTCACCTTCGGTAATGAAAGTACCGATCGCGTTTACGAATAATTCCGGTGCGGACGTCGCCGCAGCCATGAACGTCGCACCAGCTACGTCCTTTGACATCGATAGTGCTAAAGTACATAGAAAAAGAAAAAAAAAAAAAGAAGAAGAGAGAGAGCAAGCTCGTGTTAAGAAGGATTAATAAACTTTGTCACCTTGGACTTTTCTGTTGGATCGAACAATTTTATACCTACCGTGACATATTTTTTCTACCGCAGGTACAAAGAATTTATCGCATACGACTGCTAGTGCGATAAATAGATAAAGGGACACTATTACGTGCACAACGACGGCACCGCCTTGCCTCTGTGCCTCGTCAAACAGATCATGTGGAAAATCTTCTATCGCAGGTGGTGTGCAATTTATACCTGCAACAGAACATCACGTGTCCTCTCTTGGCATTATACAAATGAGCCGTAATAACCTGCCTATTCTCTCGTTTCTCTATAGATTCACGAGCTTATCGTGTAAAATTATATTATGGTTATCATAAAGAAAGGAAAGGGGAGAGAAAGAGAAAGAGAAAGAGGGGAGTAGGGGAAGAGTAGAAAAACGAAGAAGGGGAAAAGGGAGAGAAAGAGATATTAGTTTTCTTCGATACATTCATTTTACTTCTCATTTCGAATATACGATCTCGTGTATGTATTTTTTTCTTACCTTAATAATACTTCCTTATAAAATAACGAATACGTACAAATGAAACGTAAAGATTTTGATCAAAAGAAAAAGAATAAAATATATATCCTAATTAAATTTTAAAGGAAATCCGAGATAAATGTTCTGGGTAGTGAAATATTTTACGTGACCTTGTTGATATACAGATATATATATATATACACACACGTACATACATGTATGCATACATGGATACGTACAACTGGAAAGATGGACCCAACGATGATCGCGAACACGATAATGGTTCTCTCGAGTACGTCACGACATGCGAAACACAATACAAGTGCAGGTATTTATTTCAAGTTTTATTCTCCCATTCGATTGAAGATATGTATGTATCAGATATATCTATATCCAAGTTAAATAATTCAATGATCGTTTTGCTACTTGAAAATCTAGGAAAACATTTTCGCGAGGACGATCAATTCGTGAGCAAAGATAGCTAGCTAGGTAGGTAGATAGGTAGGTAGATAGGTAGGTAGATAGGTAGGTAGATAAATAGGTAGATAAATAGGTAGTGCGAGTTCGTATTGGGTCGTCAGACAGGAGGCGAGCAGCAGCACGAGCCATTTAAATCGTATTGTAGCCGACTTGTAATTATTATCCTCGGCAGTACTGTAAGGGAAAACGAACGGATGTTCCACACCCTCCATATTTGCTATTCCGTAAAATACACGTTGTACTTACGTAACGCGCGTGAAAACGCATCGAATCTCGTACATGAAACAGGAGCTTGGACATCAAGTTCTGGTTTCTTTTATTTTTTTCTTTTCTTTTCTTTTTTTTTTCCTTTATCGACAACATGAAATATTTCAAAATAGATATATGTAGGTATGGATAATAGGATTAATTTAGAACACGTGCCGATTCTAATCCATCTGTACGAGATTGTCGTACAGTGATTAATGTGAGAATTCGAGCTTAATGTGAGAGTTCATATTAAAATGTGGTCAATTGAATTGATTTGAGAAGTGAAAGAAAGAAAGAAAGGAAGAAAGCAAGAAAGAGCGTGGTATAGAAATAGAGTGATCTTGTTTGTGTCGTCTTAGACGACATTATGAATCCCATCGAAAGGACGCAAAAGCATTTTACGTGGACGAGTAAGGTCCGATAATGTGCAAACACGTTAGCACACTGTGGTGTTGTACTTACGAGCCATCAAATTGTGCATCGTATAGCGTTAAGACGGTGATACGCCAAGTAGGAAACGTCTCGTTAAGGTCAGTCATTAGTTCAATTTTACGAAAGCTGCGTGTCGTGGAATTATTTGGCAAACAACCTCACGTGAGAATGTCACTTTGGAGAGCTAGGGGTGGAGAAGAGAGGGGCAGGGGGTAGAAGGATGAACATTATCGTAACAATTCTTATAATAGATCGTATTTACGAATATAGATGGAGTATTTCGCGAAGGAAAAGACATTTTCATTACGATTTCGTAAAACTTTCGAAACTATAAGTTTTATCGTTTTACGATAATTTTCTTAACGTATAAATAACGATGGGAAAAAGATCGTAAGAATAAATTTGTTCGTATATATATATATATATATATATATATGTGTGTGTGTGTGTGTGTGTGTGTGAACGCGCACGCGATTTTTTTTTTAATGAAATTACAAAGACAACTGATCGTAGATTTAATCTCTTTTATTTTCCTTGTCCTTTACCGTTTTCCTTTTTTTGTCCTTTTTTTCACTTTTTTTCATTTCCTCTCGTAACGATCAGAGATCATTATAAATAAATAACGATGAATACAAAGATTATCACAGACATGTGCATACGGGGAGTTCGTTCGCATGTGTTCGCTCGCGGCCGCACGCTCGCGCGCTACACGGTAAGCGCAAATGGGACACAAAAATGTCGGAGTATGTTCTCGGGCTATTTTAATTTGCAGGGGTCAATTGGCCGGTCGGTCGCGGCCGGTCGGTTTGTTTGTTTGATTCTTACGAATGGATCAAGATCGAAGAAGAAAGAAAGAGCGAGAGGGAGAGAGAGAGAGGAGGGGGAGGGAGGAAGGGAGGAGGGAGGAAGGGGGAGGGAGATTATCGAAAATGACGAATCGCATCCGGCTCTTATATCGATTTTCGAGTCAACCTATGAGAATCCTACACGTATGTAATTCGATACGATGGATTTCTCTTGGGATTTACGTTCTCGAAGGATATCCTTCGAAGATTTATTTTCTTTCCCAACACGTTGATCAGCTCGATCGCTCTCTTAAAACTGACTTGGTTGATTTTCCTTTTTTTTCTCACTCTCTCTCTCTCTCTCTCCCCCGATCTTTGTTCCCTCTAGAATGAGGGTCTAATCTCCGGGAAAACTTTTCGACGGATATTAGAAGTAGAAAATAATGAAATTTTTATTAAGTATTCTAGATTAATAGAACCTTATGATCGTTCAACTGGTAGATTGCTGAAGAGCAATCAATTATAGAAATGTAGGAGTAACTAACAAAAGAGAGAGAGAGAGAGAGAGAGAGAGAAAGAGAGAGAAGGTGTAGGAAACATAGAATCACGTAAAATGCTTTTCGAGTAAGTATCCTTCTCCCCTCCTCTCCCATCTAAATGCCTACGTCACATTGTCGTAAAACTTATCTAGAAAGAAAGAAAAAATGGAATTTCTCAAAATTTTTTTTTGTGTGCAAGATGGGAGGGATGACGGTGAGATGGGGGAAGAGGAGGGGTGGCAGAGACAAAAAAATCTCGTTTTCTTTTCCAGCTTTGCTCCCCAGGCGTCGTCGTAAGCCTACTGGTGTTGTAGATGTGGGCGTATTGGTGACTCGTACCGGTTATACAGCTATGTGGTTGATGTGACTTCCTACCGATTAAGCAACCTAAAGAAGTTAAATTGCTCTCATTCAACTGGCCAGAGTAGATGCCATTCATGCCTAATGTACGTCGTATAAACTAGATATAACGCGGCTGGACAACTCGGCCGGTCTCGAGGGTCGATCGCTGACCGAAGACCGTCGTCGCCCGGGATCATTTCTTTCTCTCTCTCTCTCTCTCTCTCTCTCTCTCTCTCTCTCTCAAATAAAAAGAACGGAGAAGATGAAGAAGAAGAAGAAGAAAGAGAAGAAAAAGAAGAAGAAGAAGAAAAAGAAGGAGGTGAAATAACGATATGTACAATACAACGATAGTTTGAACGAGGGTCGGGCCAGACCGAGAAAAACCTTTACTCTGTACGAGTCTAATTGATTTTTATCGAGCTTAGGTAATTATTAAGAGTGCTTAATTCGCGCTTAAGGCCTCACGTACGTGAGGGCCCCTTTCGAACGATCGTCGGGTTAATACGCTAATGACACCACCCCCGCCAATCCTCGTCTTTTCTTTTTACCGATGCCGCCGGCATCGTTACGATACTATATTCGAACCGTGGTACCACCGAGAGTTCTCAACTAACACTACTCTATTCGTGTAGAGTCACCGTTTTCGTCGTTCTCTTCCATCGTCGTCGTCCATCACACCACCACCGTCACTATTCTTTTAACATCGTTCAACATCGTCTCAATATCCTTGTCTTTCTCTTTTTTTTTCTCTCTTAATGACCATCAACGTCTTCCATTTATTTACATCTTTTCTCTCTTTATCTTTACTTTTCTATCCATTTATTTTGTTTTCCTTTCCATTTTCTTTTCCTTTTTTTCTTCTTTTCTTTCTTTTTTTTTTTTCTTTTTAAACGTAAACAAACATGTAAACACGTAAACGAGCGAATTTTAAACGAGCCAATATTATGATATTACTGTCAGATAGATTCTATTATAAGGAGAATTAAAATTGATCGATAAATAAGAATACGTAGATGAGAATCGATGTATTCGCGAGCTTCGTTCTTTTAATAATAGAAAAAATATATTAACCCTAGAAGTTGTAAAATTTGATATACTTAATACCTTGTTAAGTTATATCATTGAGAAATGGATTTGCGTTACAGCTTCAAGTTACACTTTTGCACTTTTCTTAACCGGAGAATCTTGAGATTCTTGTTTCATTTATAAAAGCTTCCCTCTGTCTATTTCTATTTCTATTTTTCTCTCTCGAAATCTCGAAATCTCGAAATCTCTTTCTATTTCTATTCATTTCTCTCTCTCTCTCTCTCTCTCTCTCTCTCTCTCTCTCTCTCTCTGTCTGTCTCTGTTTAATGAGATAATGTATAAGCATTAGAAAAGGAAAGTTTCAAATTTAGATGAGATATAGATTAAGGTTTCAAATGTGGTTTGGTAAGATAGATTGAATTCTATTTGAAAATAGATTCGAATCAAATTAAGAGGAAATAAAATGAAAATGAAGATGAAGATGAAGAGGACGACTATGACGATGACGATGATGCAAATCGGGAGCGCGTGTAGTAACTTAAAAGCGACCAATTGTCGCGAAAGCGAAGCGGTTAGTATAGGATAAAAGTGTCCCTCCAAGGGAATACTATCTTACTCTCTCCCTCTCTCTTTCCTTCTCTCTCTCTCTCTTTCTCTCTCTCTCTTTCTCTCTCTTTCTCTCTTTATTATTTCGTTATAAAACCATCTTTATTAATCCGTTTTTATCCTTTTTCTCACGATTTGCGAGAAAATAGGATATCTTTTTATTTTGAAGAAAGTTTTTTTTTTTCCTCGAAAAATATCGACTCATCTTTTGAATACAATTTTCGTCGATACCCATCATATCCTTTATCTTAACGACAAAATTTTCCTTTTTCCAACAAAGAAAATTGTCTCCTATAAATTCCAACGTGTATAAAAACAGGGAAATAGTTTCGTATAAAAAATCTATCGTATAAAATTGAAATTGAGAAAGAATCGATATGCGTTAATACGAAAAAATTAAAAACGATTCCGTTTCCTCGGAATTATTGAAATTATTAAAATAATTTTAATTGGTATGAATCGAAGTCGAGATAGTAGAACGGATCCGATTCTCGCTGGATTTGACAGATTTTGAAACAAAAAAAATTTGATAAGAAATTTCAAAATGTCGCGATCTTTTTTTTATGATAATTGTTTTCGTTTAATAAACGTTAGATGTACATGAATGATTCGAAAGATAAAGGATGCAAATTAAAATATGACAAATTAAAGACGTATTTTGAAAAAAGAAGAAAGAAAGAGAGAGAGAGAGAGAGTAAGAGAGAGATAGAGAGGGAAATTGTATATGCTTATATATATGTATGTATATGTATATGTATGTATGTGTGTATAGGTGAATAACGATCGATCAAGGATGAATAATAATCGATCTTACCGTTCGACCAGGAATGAGTTATCCTCGCAAAAGTCGACATGATTCCCGGCAAAGCATATTCTTCTATCGTTAACACGATCTAACGAAAATTGGAAAAATTTCTAATATATGAAAATAAAAAAAAAACCAAAATGAGGAAAAGAAAGGAGTTAAAAAGGGCAACTCCTTTATCATTAGTTGTTCTTTTCACTGTGGAAAAATGATTTTCCGGAAATCAAGTTTGGAATGTCATCGACAGTTCGTTAGATCGTCGTTTCAGCTTCACGATCTCGTCGTGACGATTTCGTCTCGTAACGTTCTTCTCACGCGAAAAAAAAAACTAAACTATCCTTTGTCGTCGTTGTTGCGCACTATCGGATTTAAGGATGGAACGGACGGGACACGAACGATTTAAACGACGTTAAATAAAGCGAATTTCTGCCGTTGCAGTTGCCGTTGTCATTCGTCGTCGTCGTCGTCGTCGTCGTCGTCGTCGTCATCGTCGTTGTCGTCGACATCGACGTCGTTTTTCCAATCGTATTCTTTCTATCTTTTTCTATATATCTCTTACTATCATCTCTACTATCTCACATCTCTGGACCGAACCGAGAAACGTCACAAACGGAAACGTCTGGATTACAACGCGCTATCTCGTATTACACGATGTTTTGCATTAGCGTTACCGTGATTCGAACGTCGACTTCTCTCTCTCTCTCTCTCTCTTTCTCTCTCTTTCTCTCTTGCCGTCTTTATTCATTTGCACGCTTTATTCCATCTCTCTCTCTCTCTCTCTCTCTCTCTCTCTCTTTCTTTCTTTACCCCTTTCACTTCCTCTCTCTCTCTCTCTCTCTCTCTCTCACTCTCTCTCCCTTTCTCTTTTAAAAGAAGAGAACGAGAGTTTGTTCACCGTTCAACTCCCTTATCTCTTTCCCCTTTCTCTTTCTTTTTCTCTTTATTTTTCATTTTAAAATGTCCACCCAATAGATCCGTCATGGAAGAACTATTACGTGAAACAGCAATAAATGAGGACTTGAATTCTTGAAAATAATATTCGCACCAACCTCCTCCTAGGTCAGACGTATCCATGTTGTCAATCCCGTTGTCACACACATACTACATTAACAACTACTCCGAAGTCCGACATCGTTTGTTAGAATCACCCCTCCCTCTACTCTTCTCTTCTCATCACTTCTCTCTCTCTGTCTCTCTCTGTCTCTCTCTCTCTCTCTCTCTCACGGTCTCTCTTGGTCTCTCTTTCTGTCTTTCTCTCTCTCTCTCGGTCTCTCTTTCTCTCTCTCTCTCTCTCTCGGTCTCTCTCTCTCTCTCTCTCTCTCTCTCTCTCTCTCTCTCACTGTGCTTAGCTCTTCGTCCGCGCCCGCTCGAATTGCGCGCGGTCGTTCTACGTTTTCAAACATTATTTTTACGCTTGAAAAAGCCTGAGTTCGCGAACCCGCAAGAAGGAGTGCCCAGGATACTTACACATATCGATGAGACAAGTCGACATTTCGTTTTTTTTTTATTTGTTCTTTTTTTATTTTTATTTTTTCTTTTCTCTCTCTCTCTCTCTCTCTCTCTCTCTCACTCTCTTTATTTTTCTACTTTGTTTTATTTATTTCCTTTTATTTCCATCTATATATTTTTTTTCTTTCTATCGAAGAAATAAAAGAAAAGAACGTTTGAACTCTGTATTAAATTTCAATTGTCACTTTGAACCTTATAATAACATTTTGAATCTTATAATTTTTAATGTTCGTTCGCATCTACGTAAAAAATTGTTACAACATGAAAATTATAAGTATTACTTAATATCAATATAATTGCAATATACTTGTGGTATAAATTATATATTAAAAAAAAAAAATATATATATATATATATTGAAGAACATTGGATACGTAATGACAGTGAAGTTTAACACGATAAAATGAAATAAAGTTTGCAAAATAGCTGTACAGATATATCGCTGTATAAATAATATCAAATTTTTTAAATGTTACATCGCGTTTATAGAACCAATTAGAAATTCGATCTCGTTTGCGTTAGTAACGTTGTATAGTTGTTCTTCTCGTTATTTTCAATGACTTCGTGGAAGAGATCGACGACAAATTTCTCGGATTCGTCAATCGATAGCATGCTGTTTCTCAAGTGTAGTTTTATCGACGACAATTAATCGTCCTTGATCGCTCTACTTGTCAAACTACGACGAAAATTGCCGTTGACGTTCATTATGTTCGAAAGATCGTTCGACGAAATCCACACGCGAGGACCTTTTCATTAGAACGTGTTATTTGTAACATAAAATATCTGTTGTACGCACATATATGTGTATACGTGCGTGCTTATGTATGTATATATAAATATAAATATAAACATATATATATGTATACATATACATATATGTCTACACTCTTTTATTGATTTACAAGAATAAAAATCACATAAATAGTGTTAATAAAATATGTTAATAAAATAATAAAATATATATATATATATATTTCCAAAGAAATATAATACTAATATAAGTTATAAAAGGATTTATTCCACATACGTTTAAAAAAAAGAAATAGAATTTATTGAATTTAACAAAATCCAAAATAAATTTGTTTCGTTGTCGTCGTCGCTCTCATTGTCATCTGTATGGCACTTCAAAGCAATCGATTTTATTTTAAATTCACTCAAATTCAAAGCTTTAGCTAGAAAACTTGGTCTTTATCACAGTATAGATATTGTCGAGAACAGAATAAATTCAGTAAATATTACAGAGGAATATATATATGTATATACAACATGTGTATATGTATATATATACATATTTTTTAATATATATATATATATATATATATATATATATATAAAGGCATTCGTATAATCAGATAGCTTAAACAAAGAGAGGGGAGAGAGAGAGAGAGAGAGAAAGAGAGAGAGAGAGAGAGAGAGAGAGAGAGAAAGAAAGAGAGAGGGAGAGGGAGAGAGACTATTATATAAAATTATAGTGTAAACGGTGCAATAAATTGCCGAGTATAAAAAACACCTAAGTATAAAAAATATCGTATAAATATAATAACAGGTGCACACTTACTTATGTACACATATATTTTATATAAATACTAGTATATCGATTTCGAGGGCTCGAGAAAACTTTCCTTCAACGATCGAAGGGAAAATTGTTTTCTTTGGTATATCTTATCTCGAATAAGAATACGTAAGAACAACGCCACGTTTCGATATCACCATTGATATCAATATCAGTATTGATTTGGATTTCGTTCAAGATCGATCGAATCGCAAAAATCATTTTTCCCAGTGCCGTGATTAAAAGGATAAAAGAGTGAAAATATTGAATATTATAACGAATATTTTAAGTTTCTTAACGTTAACGTTCCAATAAAAAAAAGAAAAAAGAAATAAATAAAAAGAAAAAAACGAAGAAAAAAGTTATTTTACTTATATCTAATTTTTCTTTTTTCGACAACGAAGATCCGTAACTTCTTTTTTCTTTTCTTTTTTTCTCTTTTTTTCTACAATCGTTATGGCACGACGACACAGGCATATGATCGCATATAGGATATTATTCGTGATAGCCATACCTGCTATGTACTTCCTTTGCGTTAGCATCACTGGATATAATCCAAAAGATCCTACATCTGTCAGCGGTTATAGGAAGGCCCGTGAGTATTAAGCAAAAAAAAAGAATAGTAAAAAAGAAAAGAAATAATTTTTTTACTTTCAACCGTTATACATTATACATTATAAATATTCGATATTTGAATATTTCCTCAGCTCGAAACGATTTCCTGAAATGATATAATTCCATTTTTTCTTTCATACGATAAGACTCATAAAAGGTACATATATGTACACACACACATATATATATATATACATGTATAAATATATATATGTGTATACATATATATATATATATACATGTATATATATATATATATTTATATATATATATATAAAATATTAACATCGATGATCTTTCATTCCTAGTAAATTCATTTCATAGAAAATGCGTCGTATGACGAAAGTCGCTCGAGATTCAGGCATTATCGAATAAAAAGATCTCTCGAGAGTTCCGCGGGTAACCGTCCGCGTCGCGTGAGAGGACGACGTTACGTTACGACGATTATTTTGTCTTATAATCTGCCAACTTGACGAGAAATTACCCGGTACGGTTTAATTCGATCGAATTAGAGGCAACCTCCTCTTACTCTTCTTGCGAGGTACCTCCTCTTAAGACTTCCTCTTTCATCGGATGAAGAAGATAAAAATATATACATATGTATAAAAATATATATATATATATATATAAAAGAAAAAAATGAAAAAAATCAAGTTTCCCGGATAATGAATTTTATCGAATATGTTTAGCTCGTAAAAATCGTTAGATCAATGAATGAACGAACGAATAAACGAACGAACGAATTATTATCCTAATTATTTGTTTCAATTTCGTTTCTTCTTCTTCTTCTTCTTCTTCTTCTTTTTCATCTTTTTTTTTTATTCTATTCTATTTTATTATATTTTCTTTTTATTTATTTAATTCATTATTTTTTAAAGATCTTCGCAATCTCTTACAAACGGTGGAAGTGCAAAAGGAAATTATAGGAGAGAATTGCACAAGACCGGCCATTGATGAGTTCCCATCGGATGGATTTACGCGAGCAGAACGACGATCTGGTTTCATAGCGATACATTTCGCCATTGCTATTTATCTCTTTTTACTTTTGGCGATCATCTGCGACGACTTCTTTGTACCTGCGATAAAGAAAATATGTGAAAGTAAGAGACTCCTAAAAGGAGTGATCCTGTCTTTTCTATTATTTCATTTTGTTAATTTTTTTTTATATTTTTTATATTTTTTATCTGTTGACACGATAGAAAAGTATTTTACTTTCTTAATCGATGAAATTCATTTTGTAGAGATGAAAGTGAGCGAGGACGTCGCCGGTGCAACCATAATGGCAGCAGCCAGCTCCAGTCCGGAATTATTCATCAATGTTATTGGAACTTTTATAACGGAAGGAGATTTAGGTGTAGGCACGATTGTTGGTTCCGCTGTGTTCAACATACTTGCTGTGCCAGCTTGCTGTGGATTATTTGCTAAACAGGTTGGTTTATCATAAGAATATATTTTTATAATGATATATATCTTTTTCATTCTATACTCGAGTACAAAAAGAATGACATATATACATATATATATATTGAGATAGAGAGAGAGAGAGAGAGAGAGAGAGAGAGAGAGAGAGAGAGAGAGAGAGAGAGAGAGAGAGAGAGAGAGAGAGAGATATGGAGGAAGAGACAGAGACATTATCTCGAGTATTATAATCGAATCGATAATAACAAGTTGTTAGAGTTGTTTTTTTTCTTTCTTCTTTCTTTTTTTTTCTTTTTTTAGACATTACATTTAGAATGGTGGCCCATCACACGCGATACCTTGGCATACTCTTTTACTGTACTTTTATTGATCATAACACTTCGAGACGGTCGTATCGAGTGGTACGAAGGCTTGATTCTCATCATATTTTATATATTTTACATTTCGGGTAAGTTCAAAAAATTTGATGGAACAGATGATATAACTTTGATAAAGGATTTTTCCTTTCATTTTTATTTTTTCTTTTTTCTTCATCTCTCCAATTCTTCTTTTCGTCAGCTTCCTTCTTTATTTATATATTTTTTTTTTCAGCAATGTTTTTCAATGGAAGAATCAGTAGATTTCTAAAACGTGTCACGTCGAAGAGAAAAGCGTACAAGAGTATCTCCGAGAATAGTCCTCTTATTTCTAGCAGTACGATTGAAAATTTATATAAAATTATACGAAAATTTGATTTATACATTTTTCTTTTTTTCGTCGATTTTAATGTTTTATTCTTTTCGATTTTTTTCTTTTTTTTTTACAGCGTACATGAAAAACGGCAACATCGAGAATTTCGGTACGAGCGAGAAGGAAGAAGCACGTGAGTGTTTTTATGAAACTTGAAAGAATAAAGAAAAATCTCTTTTATATATGTATATATATATATATATATATATATATATATATATATATATACATATATACACATATATAATATATTTTTTACTGTTTACAGTTGAAATCGTAAGTATGACAAGTTGGCCGAGCTCGAAGTACGAAAGAATATGGTGGGTTTTAACATGGCCGATCAATCTGGTACTGCTCGTTACGATTCCAGATTGCAGAAGACCGAAATTAAGAACATGGTATCCTTTAACATTCATCATGTGCATCATATGGATCGCTAGCACGTCTTACATAGTAGGATGGGTAATAACGATTATCGGTAGATATTTTTTTTTTTATTTCTAAAATTTCCTCATTTGATAATTAAGATTGTTAGATTTATTAATAAAAATACATATACACACGTATACATACATATATAATTTGTAAGGTGATACATTCGATATTCCTGACTCGATCATGGGATTGACTTTCCTCGCGGCTGGTATGAGCGTGCCTGAAGCTGTATCTAGCGTTATCGTAACAAATCAAGGTAATTAACGATTATAATTAACAGATAATTATAATCTATATATATATATATATGGCGCTGATATAATGAATAATTTTTATTCATTTAGGTCTTGGTTCCATGGGAATAAGTAATTCGATAGGTTCGAATGTATTCGACGTTTTACTTTGTTTAGGATTACCATGGTTTGTGAAAGCCGCCATAATACCAACCATACCAGGGGAACATAGTATTAAAATTAATTCGCAGGGTCTCGTTTATAGTTCTGTATCTCTTTTTTCTACATTATTCATCCTATACGTATCTCTCGCGTGTAACAAATTTAAATTAAATCGTGGCATCGGTGTAACATGTCTTATTACATACGCCATTTTTTTAATATTCGCATCGATCGTAGAACTTAACATCTTTTTTGTCGTTAATTTACCTATATGCAATCACTGACAATAATTATTAAATATGCATTTACTTGCCCATAGGCTTGCTATACAAAGGCAACATTATTTCAAATACATATGTATTAAATAGAATAAGTTCGTTAATGTGCTAGTCAATTATTTGTAATATGTCCATTTAGTACATTACGATATATCATTTTTGAATAATATGAATTTAAATGTATTTTGTGTTAGGTATATTTTTTAATTAAATTCATACTTAACGCATGTTACATATATAGAAATATAAGAGAAATATATATATATATATATATATATGTGTGTGTGTGTGTGTGTGTGTACATGTGAAAATGTAAATATATATCTTATTTACCTTTTATATTATTAAGAACATTAAAGAAAGGTATTGATATATATCAGAAGGAAGTATCATTTATCACGCATATGTTGATGTTAATTTCTATTTATATTATGACAATAAGAGAATCAAAAGGGAATATTGTTAAACATAAATTTGATATAAATGGTGGATGAATGGTCCAAATCGAAATATTGTTAAATATTTATTAAAATGTATTAAGTGTATCGGAAAGTTCTGTCCATATCAGTTACAACAAATTTCAATAATTATGCATATATTCATTTGACGCATATTTGGCTCTCTCTTTTTATCACTGAATATATACTGACCTAGCGAATGAACTAAAACGAAGATGATTCATGTTAATAGTAAACGATCATATACCCATGGCTACTGATAAAGTTCATTTACATCACTGTATTTTGTACAAATTTCAATGAGGAAGAAATGCTACAGAAGCGTATAGAAATTTATTGAAAGTGTTTGGTGAAGATACAGTTTCTGATAGAACATGCAGAAGATGGTTCGAAAAATTTGAAATAGCTTTGATTTCGATCTTACTGATAAGCCACGCTCTGGGCGACAATCTTTGATCGACGACAATACTGTTAAGATCATGTTAAAGCAAAATCCTTTTTTGACAACATCGGAGATTACGGAAAGGCTTGATTCAGCTCAACAAATCATTTCAGACCATATTTAGAAATTAGGATTGGTGTGGAAATCTTCGAGATGAGTGTCATATGAGTTAAGTGAGAAGAATTTGAATGATCGATATTATATCATATGCACATCTCTACTTGCATGGAACAAAATCAAATCCCTTCTTGAACTGAATGATAACTGGGGGATGAAAAGTGGATTACCTTTTGGAAAATATCGTAAGGAAAAGGGCATATTGTGAACCCGGAAAATCTGTCCCCTCCATCTCTAAACCGAATTTCGAAGACCAATACATTTTGAGCTGTTGAAACCAAACGAAAAGCTAAATTCGGAGAGGTACTGTCACCAATCGGATAATTTAAAAATAGCACTCCAAGAAAAGAGACCGGTGACATTCAACAGGAAGGATATCATATTGCTTTATGTTAATGCTAGGTCGTATACTGTTTTAGAGACTCGTCAGAAACTCATAGGGCTAGACTAGGAAATTCTATTGCATCTACCATACTCCCCGAATCTAGCACCCTCTGATTATCACTTGTTTTTGTCCTTAGAAAATTTTTTGCAGGGCAAGAAATTCAAAAACAAAGAATATATCAGACAAACTCTGGTTCAATTTTTTGCTCCTATGGATGAGGCATTTTTTAAAAATGGGATATACAAATTACCATCATGCTGGTAAGAAGTCATAAAAACTGATGGTAATTATATCATTCAATAAAATTTATTATGAAAAATGTATTATTTTGTTTTATTTAAAAAATGGACAGAACTTTTCGATAGACTTAATATGTGATAGAAAGGTTTTTATAGCTGTCCACAATCTGCAATCACTATTTTTTGAAGTGTCTTGCCGTTTTGGGTACCAAAACTATCTATCTTTTTGACTACATCCATACCTTTGATAACAGAACCAAACACTACATGTTTCTTATCCAACCAAGAAGTTTTAGTAGTTGTTATGAAGAATTGAGATCCATTGGTATTTTCTCCGGAATTAGCCATGGAAAGATTACCAGGTCCAGTGTGTTTAAGTTTGAAGTTCTCATCTTCGAATTTCTCTCCATAAATGGATTTACCTCCAGTGCCATCATGATTTGTAAAATCACCTCCTTGGCACATAAATTTTGGAATTACACGATGAAAGGTACTACCTTTGTAACCAAATCCTTTTTCTCCTGTACAAAGAGCACGAAAATTCTCTGATGTTTTTGGTACCACATCGGATCTTAATTCCATTATTATACGTCCAATAGGCTTATCATCTGCAGTGATATCAAAATATACTTGCGGCAAACCCATTGTCTTCCTTTATAATATAAAAATTATTAACACTGGATCTAAAGTATAACATAAGATAAGAACATTAGTAGTAATATTATATAATATTTTGTAATATTTCAATAGATTAGAATTATATTTTGATTTTTAATTGAAATATATTATTATTATAAATATAAATTGGAATTAGAATATATATATATATATACATACAATTTACCTCAACGTGGTATATAACAAAGAAAGAATAATGGTTGTGTGATGAACAGTTAAATATATATATATATATATATATATATATATTGATTTAAGAGGGCGCTAGTTGACACGATGTACAGTCTGAAGTTAACGCGTGACAATACTTTTGTGTAAATATTCCAAGGTTGGCAGTATGAAAAAACTAAAAATACTAATAAATGATATTGTAATTTATTTCACTGTTATTCACTATACGCGTATAGGACAGCCTGTAAAAAGAAATGATATTGTGAGTTGGCTGTTCGCGATACTGATATTCGTGTATGTATAATGCATAAGAGGGTGTTTTGACATTTCTATCTGAATCAGTGCAGATTGATAAATCGACGATAAATATTGAATTGTTTGTATCCCTTTAATATCAGGTCATGAGAAGCAGTTACTATTGTCACTGACAAAAAATTCCCATAATATTCATTTCATTTGTTAAGACGCATTAGTTGAACGTATCAAGGTAATATTTGTCTTCTTTTTTCCTTCATTGTATAAAGTTACTATTCATGTAAGTCTCTCGAATTGATTCGCGCTATTTAATTTATAATAATAATAATATAAAAATATAAATATGTAATAATTTTAAATATCAAATTAATATTAAAATTAATTCTCCTTTAGGTTAATATTTATGATATTGAACAATTTTAAAACATAGATTGTTATTTACGATAAATTAATCATCTCTTTGTTTAAGTTACGATGAATCATTTCGAAACTTTGAAAAATATCATTTATTAGAACAGAATGTACAATGTAACTTCATCTAAATCGTTTTATTATGTGAAGTTATCATTAAAGATATTATAAATAGATTTATAATCTTTTTCAGATAACAAGAAAAAAAAAAGAAAAAAAAAAAATATGCCTATTTTATACAGCGTTGTGTCCCGAGGAATCACTATATTGGCCTATCATGCCACATGTGCCGGTAATTTTGAAGAAGTTACGGAGAAAATATTGTCACAAATACCACCAGAAAATAATAAAATGACTTATTCTCAAGGACCTTATCTTTTTCATTATATCTGCGAGGATTCTATTATTTATATGTGCATTACTGACGATGTATGTAAAAATCTTAAGTTATACATTATATATTAGGTGGATCGTAAAAGTAATGTCGCTTTCTTAAATTAAATTCAAACGAATAAATTTTTAACAAGTTTTTATTTTTAATCACAATCGAATATCGACATGCGCATAAACGACATTACTTTCCGGTCCCCCTATACATATGTATATATATATATATACATTATATATACACTATATATTGTTTTATAATGATTTAACTTATGCGAATATTATATTTGTTTTCTGAACAGAAATAAGATTTAAACTATGTCTTTTTTTTAAATATATATATATTAGGACTTTCAAAGATCCGGAGCATTCCTGTTTCTCAATGAAATAAAACGTAGATTTTTAACTGTTTATGGAGCTGGAGCTCA